CTATCATAACCTTATTGTTATCCATCTTCTGGACGAATATATTCTCTCATTTTCCAACTCCAAATATCAGAGGTAAATATAACTTAATTTTGTTCCATAGTCAATATCATCCTTTGATGTGCTAATGTAATTTCTGAGTACAAATAAACCGGTAATTTATTGCTTAAAAACAGAAGAGATCCAATCATATCTACTTCAATAGTTTGGAAAAAAAGGAATCTGACAAGTGCCAAAGTATGAAATGACTATTTAAAGTGAATTCAAGTATATTCTTATGTTATTCTCCAATAAACAAGTCATACGCATTTCTGTGATCCTTAAAATGAGCATGCTGAAAGTTACAGGGGAAAGAAAGATTTGGGAAAAACACAAATACACAGATAATTCATCTAGTGAAAGAACTAGCAAGCCAGGTGCTTTTATTTCTCTATTAGGACATTACTTTCTCTGTTTGTATTGTGGTTCATTAAATGGGTAGGCTATCTGTGGCTTTGAGAAGGAAAAATAATTTAAAAAATAATTTTCCTAATATTTTACCTTGATTATGAAACCAAACCAAAGGAACATTATTTTACATTCAATTAGTAACATATGCAGAGGCAGGCGCTTGGTAATTTTTAGTTATTCATTTGCTTGATGCTTTTTCCAGCAATTTCAGCTGCAAAACTATAATATCCATCTGTTTGAAAAGGTAACTGATTAGCAACTAGCTCCTTTAAAACATTTTTTAAAACATATCGTCTTACCTTTCCAAAGTCAATCTCTACCAGCTTTAAAAATAAATATTCTAGCCAAATCTCGGAAGAAATATATTCTAAATATATGTTAGACATGATAGATTCTCACACAACATTCACTCCTATCTCCTTCAAGTGTGTATCCCTCTACCTATGAGGCTAGAAACCTATAAACCACATTTCCTGGAGTTCCTTGCAGCTAAGGTTCTGGGCACAGTGTAGGTTCTTCCAGGGAGATGAGCAGGATAAGAAGGAAGGTGGAGGCATCTAAGGAAAATGTTTGCTTCTTGTTTTGTTGTTCATAGCAATGTTCAGTTACCAGCTTCCTAGGATGGACAGGAAGAACTAGCAAGTTCTTTGCAGCAGCCTCTCTGGTCACTATAACGCAGCCCAAAAGGTGTGTCCTTGAGGTTAGCAGTTCTAATCGTGGTTCTGATTCCCAGCCCCTAGGCTGTGGCAATGACAGCAGCAACCCTGGGGCCAGTCAGGCTTGCTGCCTGGAGTCAATACATGAAGCTAAGGCTAGGCCCCTCCTCTACTTTCAGTTGCAAACTTCCCTGCCAACCTTCTTGTGAGCACCTAATTATCATATTCAACTCTTTTCTGCTTGAAATGGCTAAGATAGTTTCCATCATCTGCAGTCTAACACAGAAGAAAAAGAAGGTAAAAACGAGCACTTTCAATACAGCAAGATGGCATGTAACACCCCAGAAGGACCATGGAAGTGGAAAAGGTTGTGCTTATTTGACATCCACAGTTACGCCTTTAAAAACAAGAAGTTCACAGGCTGAACTTTCCAGAGCTACCCAAATCAGGGCTAACAACCCTTTACGGCCTAGGGTTGATGTGGAGACATAATAACAAAGGTTGGGAAACAATCATTGGGACCCCCAGAGAGAAAATAAGGGAGGATAGAAGGGAACAAGGAAAAGCAAAGAGAATAAAACCACACATATGTGTGAAGAGGACCATACACCAAATCCCTCATGTGACCTTCATCCCCTACCATCTTCATCATCATCTCCAAAAACAACCACAGGTAACTTCTTTAACCTAGTTGAGTCAAAGGCCTGTCTAGGGTGGAGGAGATGCAAGTGTGACACCCTCTGGCTCCAAAAGGACACTAATTACTAAGAGTACAGCACATTCTATACTCTATGCTATAGAAGAGTACCAAGCATACACAGATGGGGGATTGAACCAGTGACCCAAATATTCAGTTCTAGAGTCAATTAGGCAGCAACCTCTCTGCAGCCTCCAGGAGATGATATTATGTCAATATACTCCTACTTCTTGCTATAAACCCCTCTTGATGACTGCTCACAATGTGCCAACTGTGTACTCAGCATTTTACACCTATTCATTTGCTCCCCACAGCCACCTGGGGAGATATTATTATCTCCATTTCACAGTTAAGGAAATGGCTCAGAGCTGGGCTTCAATCCAGGTGATCTAGTTCAAACTCTTAAAATGCCTTCTTTGAGTGGTTAGAAACTTCTCTGGATGAGAAGTGAGTATCCAAAGTGAATGATGTTAACTCCTTTTGTAGATGTCTCAGCTAGGAGTTCTTTTTTTTTTTGAGACGGAGTTTCACTCATGTTACCCAGGCTGGAGTGCAATGGCGCAATCTCGGCTCACCGCAACCTCCGCCTCCTGGGTTCAGGCAATTCTCCTGCCTCAGCCTCCTGAGTAGCTGGGATTACAGGCATGCACCACCATGCCCAGCTAATGTTGTTGTATTTTTTTAGTAGAGACGGGGTTTCACCATGTTGACCAGGATGGTCTCGATCTCTTGACCTCGTGATCCACCCGCCTCGGCCTCCCAAAGTGCTGGGATTACAGGCTTGAGCCACCAATGTACTCTCTTTATGGGATCAAGAGAAGTGAATCACAAAAGCTGAAGGACATTTAACTGGCCATTTAGCATCACTATTCAGTTTGTCCTTAAATGAATTCTCCAGTTATCTTAATGCTTTCATCATGCCATTCTTTTCGGAAGAATTCCTAATTTATGAGTAAAAACGTAAGATTGCACAGACAAGTGCTGACAGCCTAATTTCAATAATGCATTATACCAGGGGCTTAATTGCAATGAGAGCTTTCACTCAATTCCTGTTTAAAAATACAAATGAGAACACTGACACGTAGTAAACACAAGGATTTAACTGCATTTTGCCCTCAACATTATGAGCCTGCCAAGCATGTCTTGCTTGTGTCTTCTTCAAAGCAATGATAGAGCCTTCTTCATAAATGTGTTTCAAATTTTGGAGACTAGTTCTCTAAAGGAACACATAAATTCTTTACAAGTGAAATGCATGTTAGTATCCACATATCCACCTATCAGAAATACTATAAGGTCTTGTTAATACCTCTTCTTTACAGCCCTTGTAACCTCCAGTATGATTTGGCTGTCAAAGATACACATACATAGAGATTTATGATTTACTGGGAAGATCCCCACTCCCATTAACCTTCCAATTTACGGCAGAGTTAACTATCCACACAGGGTATTCCCAATTTCACATCCCTCTGGTAAGCAAAATATTATTAAAACCTTTGAACTACCTTGGAACTTTATCCATATTAAGATACACACACAAAAAGGCACATTTCCAAAGACATCATTACAGTAATTGAATCTTTCTAGAAACAAAATTTCTTGTGAGTTAAAAAAAGAGTGTACAGGGAGCTCCCTTTTCAAATCTGATCAAATGCATTAATAAAGCAGCAGTTCTTTGGCACAATTTCCTCAGTGACAAGATGGGTCCCAACTTGTAAAGGTCTCCTTTAAATAAAGTTATAGGTAACCAATGACCATCTGAGAGCCACTTCCATTCTCCTAAGTGATCTTCCAGCTATGAGCAACGCTAAGGCACCACTCGCCAATACTGGACAATTCTTTACCCTGCATTCTCAGCCAGCCATCAAGGACAGAGAACCCTTCAACTCTCCCTTCCTTAAACTTCAAACAAGTTAACTATTCACTAGCTAAAAGATAAAGGCTTCCGAGGTAGGAGGATCATTTGAGGTCAGGAGTTCGAGACCAGCCTGGCTAACAAGGTGTAACCCCGTCTCTACTAAAAATAATAATAAAAAAAAAATTGGCTGGGCATGGTGGTAATCCCAGCTACTGGGGAGGCTGAGGCAGGACAATTGCTTGAAATCAGGAGACAGAGGTTGCAGTGAGCCAAAATCGCACCACTGTATTCCAGCCTGGGCAATAGATAGTTAAGACTCTGTCTCAAACATAAATAAATAAACAAACAAATAAAAAATAAAAAGATAAAGGCTTCCATTTGCTGATGTCACGTGAATATTAGTACTTTTAGTTACTGAAACAACTAAATGGTTGCCAATGGATAGCTGTAATGTCACCAATAACCTTAACCTCAAAATGATGTAGATATAGTTTAGCTCTTTCCCCACACTAAATTTTCAATGTGCATTTAAATTCATACCTACCACCTAACATAAAGCTCTGCAAGTAGACGTTTACAGCCTTATCTTCTTTCTACATAGAGCATTGTGGGCTCACATCATTTATCACAAAGAACCCACGTAATATAAAAAGACCTGGCCCGGTGCAGTGGTTCACCCCTGTAATCCCAGCACTTTGAGAGGCCGAGGTGGGCAGATCACGGGGTCAGGAGTTCAAGACCAACCCGACCAACGTGGTGAAACCCGTTTCTTCTAAAAATACAAAAATTAGCCAGGAGTGGTGGCCAGTGCCTGTAATCCCAGCTACTCTGGAGGCTGAGGCAGGAGAATTGCTTGAACCTGGGAAGTGGAGGTTGCAGTGAGCCGAGATCATGCCATTGCACTCCAGCCTGGGCGACAGAGACAGACTCCGTGTCAAAGCAAAACAAAACAAAAAAACCCACACACCCACACATAGCAAGTAATATCATACAAATCCTTCTCTTCCTAATTTGGCATTCCTTCTTAAACTGTATTTTCATCGTGAGCTTTAAAAACTTTCTGGCTTCAAGTTATCTTAGTTCTTTCACTCTTATTAATTAAAAATCAATTCCCCAGGGAAAGATACACGTGCACTTCATGAAAAAATACGAATCCATTTTAACCTTTAAGGCACTAGACATGCCCTTTACCTCTGAATTCTGATGTATCCAATCTCACACCCCAAGGCACATCCCGCAATCCCTTATTGCATGGCAGTCTCGCCTGTTTTGATCGTGTCTAAGTTTGCAAGGTAAACAGGTCACCCTGGACAACTGTAAAGGCAGGGGACCAGCAGGAACTCACCCAGGCGTGCAGACCCGGCCGCGGGCTCCGGGACACGCGCGAGATGACCTGTCGCGCCCCCTCCACCCTTGGGGCGGGCGCCGAGGCGGCGGATCTAGGGAGGAACAGAGGCTTCTCTCCGCTCCCCTCTGCAGACCATTGTCAGTGCCCGGGTCGCCGGCGCTTTCTGCAGTGTGGGGACGAGCAGCAGCTCTCCCGTTGCGAGTAGTCACAGCGCTGTCCCGCAGCCAGGGGCAAAAGCTGCTTTTGCATCAGAGCCTAGGGCTGCACCAGGTGTAACTTCCACCCCTTGACCTATTTTAGAGCGTGAGGATGAAAGGAAGAGGAAAAAATAGTCGGAGGGCGCGCGGGGGAGCAGGCGGCCGGGTGCGCGCGTGGCCGTGGGGGAGCGCGCCCGCGAGCCTGGGCGCGTGTCGGGGCTTCCTAAGAGAAGTTGCGGCGAGGCGCCCCCCGGCCTCCGGCGCTTGGGCCCGCTCTGGGGCGCTTCGCGAGCCTGTTTTTCCACTGCGGCCGCAGGCCGGCTTGGCCCGCCCTACTCCTGCGCCCCACGCGGTGCACGGCTCCTGGGGATTGGGGGCTTCGGGCTGGCCCCACAACAGCAGCCCGGAGACCGCCCGCAGCCCCCGCCCCCGTCGGCGTCCCCGCCTCCCTGGACCGCCCTCACCTTTGGGGAGGCGGTGCTCGGGCTCAGATGTCCCGGAACCCAGGCCTGCGGCGCCTCCAGGCAGGAAGAGCGGGCTGGCGCTCGGCGGAGCCAGGGACGGTCGCTTCCCCGCCCAGTTCCCTGCGATCGCCCCGCCCGAACGTGCCCAGGAAGAGAGACTGGGCCGCACCCGCCCGGCCAGGGACCAGGGTGACCTTCCTGCTTCCCGCCTCGCCCTTGTCGCCGGTCTCTTCCCGCGTGGCCCGTCCTGCGTAAGAGAGGACGCCCCTGGGCGCGCACCTGGTCTGCCCGAAGCGCAGTACCTGGGGTGACGGCGTGTAGCTTTAGCGCGGCTCTTCTCACTTTACATCCCTGGACTTCAGCGGAAATGCTCCCTTGGGGTCGGTCCATTGGGATAACTGGAGATGGGGGGTTAAGTAGTATGCCACGGCTTCGATGCTTCAAATCATTCCACGACACAGCATGCCTTAACTGTTGAGTTTTGCAAAACAAGCCTCATCAAAAAAGCATCCATCAGAAGGTGGGGTGGAACTGAGAAGTTTTTGCCTAGAACTGGAGACAAACCTCCCCTCCCCACAATGCTTCTGTGACGATAGGGTTAATTACATTCTGCCAGGTCACTAACATAGTATCTTCAACCCCCTATTAAACAACTGCGTTATCATCAGGCACCTATTCACTTTAAAAATGCGCGTTCCCAGTGACGAAACCAGCACATTTAGTAACCGCTCTGCCGCCCTTTGTATAGAGGTTCATGCTCCTGATCCCCTGCGTAGGGGGCAGAGTTCAGGTCGAGCTGTTTTTCCAGTCTAGGTTATTTGTGGAAACCCAACTACAGGTCTCACATAGAGGCTGGACTATTTCAGGTGCTACTAAGATGGCTGATGGAGATCAGCATATTTCTAATTCTGGAGTGGTTTTTCAGTGCCACAGTATATTGGGTGGGGTGGAGTGGGGGAAACCTTTGCTTGGGCTTCACTTTATCATTATGTCCAGGATAATCAGATTGATGTTTTCTGTAACAGCCTCCCATTCAAAAAGAAAACAAACAAACAAACAAAAAACACCGAGTCCGGTTTTACTTATTCTTCTTGAGCTGAACGCCAGCTACAGAAATGCAACTGCTGTTCCTTGCTTCCATTCACTGGAGCTACAACTACAATATGTCCTTGGACACAGAAGACATATTGGATACTGTGATGTTCTTTGTCCTCTTCTAACAGTGTATTAGGAGACAAAGCACACCTAAAGTAAAGGATAGTGCCTAGCAAATAGTAGGACATTATAAATATCTGTCCAGTGATTGAGATCTAAAGAGAATGTAATAAACAGGAAAGTCACCTAGCTTTTGCAGGAAAATATGAGGAAAATCAGTTATAGGTGACATGATCAGGGAGGGCATCCTGGAAATGGTGACAGGTACCTGATTTATATATTTAAAAATTGGCTAAGGACTAGGTGAGGTGGCTCATGCCACCTCAATCCTCTCATCTCAGCCTCTCAAAGTAATTCCAACACTTTGAGAGGCTGAGATGAGAGGACTGCTTGAGGCCAGGAGTTTGAGACCAGTCTGGGGAACAGAGTGAGATCTTGTTTCTGAAAAAAATACAAAACATTAACTGGGCATGGTGGTGCATGCCTATGGTACCAGCTATTCAGGAGGCTGAGGCAGGAGGATCACTTGAACCCAGAGGTTTGAGATTGCAGTGAGCTATGCTTGCTCCACTGCACTCCAGCAAGGGTGGCAGAGTGAGACCCTGTCTCAAAAACAAAAAACAAACAAACAAAAAGAATTAACTAATGGGGTGGAAGTGAGAAAGTGTATTTGAAATACTTTCAAGATATAATAGAGCTAGAGATTCTTAACCTTTGGTAGGTAATGGGCCCCTATGAAAATGCTGATAGAAGCTTTGAAACCCCCTTACATAATAAACAAATGTAAAATATTTGCATGTTTTCTGAAAGTTCATAGACTGGCTGAAGCAGATGTGTAGAATCCCTAGAGATTTGTGAACTATGACATGAATTACCAATTTCTTTTTTGTTTGGAGGCAGGTAGAAAAATAAAGAGATTTTTCTAGTTGAGGCCATCGTAAGAGGTATTTCAATGGCCACCAGTAGAATTTGGGTAACGGCTGTGGAAATGGAAAGAAAATGTACTATAAAGAAAATCTGTACACTAGAGAAACATAGCTAGACTTTTAAATCATTTATGTTCTTTTTGTACCTGAGAATTTCACCTTTATATCTCAGCAAAAAGGGGGAAAGAATAGATAAAATATGACTGTCAAAACATTGACAGTTGCTGATGCTGGGTGCATACATGGGGGTTTATTGTATTATTTTCTCATTATTTGTGATGTTTAACATTTTTCATTTTTAAAAAATTTCAATGAATTTTTACTCTTGGTAGTCATAACCAATCCTATAGCATTTCCTCACTTGACTTCTTAGAATGGAGATTTTTGTATATAAAAAAGAAATAAAGAAAAGAAAAATAAAACAATACAAATAGGCCAGTATGCCACACATAAGATTGTTATTAATAAGTAAAGTCTATGTAGAAACAATAGGTTTTTCTCTGGGAAAGAGTTGTGAAATGTGTTGGCCATAGTCTCAACAGAAATTAGACAACTATAAAACATTAAACACATGTTTTTCTGTTTCTTTCTAACCTTACAGTTAACTTCATTATATGTTGCTTAGTTAACTAAATTTCTTTATGATTACATTTTACTATATAATTCATATAATTTATATCCTTATATATTCATATTCACATAGTTATATTGCATATGAATATATATGCATATGCATATGCATACATTTTTGCATTATATGTTATATACACACATATATTTATATATGACAGAATATGTTTTATATATATCATATATGCAGATGTTCCTTGAATTACGATGGTTTGATTACATTTTGACTTTATGATGATTTGAAAGCAATGCTTATTCACAAGCAGCCATACTTCTAGTATTCATACAACCATTGTCTTTCATTTTTAGTACAGGATTCAATAAATCACACGAGATATTCCACACTTTGTTATAAAATAGAATTTGTATTAGATAGTTTTAACCAACTGTAGGCTAATGTTCTGAGTACGTTTCAAGGGTAAGCTAAACCAGGCCATCATGTTCAGTAGGTTAAGCATATTAAATGCATTTTACAGCATTTTCCATTTACAATGGGTTTGTTAGGATGTAACCCCATTATAAGTCAAGGAACATCTGTACTATGTAATAATAAATAACCTTTCTCAGTGAATTCAGTTTCTTTATTAGTAACTTCCTGGGGCTGGCACATACCTCTTGAGGCTGTAGATGGCTGGCCGTGATTCTTTGAGTACCTGCCTTGCTCACTGCCTCTTTCTGAGCAAGTCAGCCCCGGTGGTTCCTTACACATAGGCTGTACACTTTGCAAATGTGATCAATTCAATCAGCCAAAGGAGCTGTCTAGCATGTCCTGTAGACTACAAGGTCGTTGCCTAGCAAAGCATAAGCTTATGTAATGAATACTCCACACCTGAAGTATCTTAAGATATGGCATTTAAGTAAGGAATTCATATAAGTTCTTTTCCTCGAGCTTTTGACCATTATTTTACTTATCTTATCCTCATTGGCTATCACAGTCCTTGGCACTTAGAACTCAATGCACATATTTGCATTAATATGCATGTATTGCCATACGCCTCAAAATGTGCTGCATGATGCTTATGTCACCGTTTCATTCATTTCAGCTTTGACTGCCTATTTTATTCAAGGACCTGGTCTAAGGTACTAGCTCTTAGTCATTGGGGGTGCTTACCTATTATTAGCATAACGGAGACTTAGCAAAAAATTACTGTATTTTTACCCTCTTTTCTTCACCTTTCAAAGTCATCCCATATTTTTTAGTGATTTTAGCTAGTTTAGCGCAATAATATATTGATGCATCAGCAAGTGGAACCCTCATCAGGCAGAATGGTAGAGCCAGGTGAGTTTAGCTGCAGATTACAAGAAGAAATTGTGAGGTGTTCCAGTCTCCCAGACTGATGTTTAGGAGACTGGAGACAAAATATTCCAGCAACAGCGATAGGCAAAGCTCAAGCTTTATGGCTTCATTGGTGTTAAAGGATTCCCCGCAGTGAGCCAGTCAGACTGAACTGAGAATCAAAGAGCTGTGATCAAACAATCACAGCTGTTTATAAGTCAGCACAATTTAGAGACAGGAGTGCTAACCAAGAGCTGTCTTTGTCATTTTGGGGTGTTCATGGGCTGAAGTCCCAGTGGCCATCTCCTAAATCCTGAACTCTTCACTTCTCCAGCCATTTTGCTGCCAGAGAGTGTGTAGCTGCTGCCTTTATCCAAGGAACTGGTATCCTCCACACCTGTGAAACCTGGAGACCTTCTCTAGGTACATAGGGAACTTGCCAGCATTGGACATAGGATGATTTCTTTTGTAATAGGGTTTTGTGCACCAAAAAAAGAAATGCCATTTTTTCCTTGTCTTCCTGAACTTTTAAAAACTAGTCCTGCCAAATCTCATCATTTCTCAAGCACCTGTCCTTGGTCCTCTGCTTTTCTCTATATATAATCTCCCTGGACAACTTCATCCACCTTTCTAACTGCAAGGAAAAACTCTATGTAGATTTCTCAAAAATCTGTATCTCAAAAATCTGTATCTCTGAATTGGTCTCATAAACCTGCAGATCCCCATGCTCGCATCGTGCTTGACATCTCTAACAGGTGATCTTAACACATTCTAAACTGAGGTCCTTTGCCCTTCATGCACCTAAAGCACCTGCCCTTTGCTTTCTTCTATAATCTCCACCATTCCCAGTCACCTGGCACATTCTTAGACTTTGCTTCTCCTTGACCTTCACAGCCCATTGGTGGCCACTGTCTGCCAATTTTACATCTGTACACCTCCTCCTTCATATTGTTTCTATTCTAGTTGTTTATGTTCCATTACTTCCCACTTACATGATTACAATTGCTTAATCTGCTCTTCTGATTTTCAAGGCTGTCTCCTCCATAAAAGATAATTCCAGACAAAAAGCTTTTGTCTGGATTAATATTTCTGTCCTAAGAATTTATCAGTTCTTGATCTAGATCCCTCTTATAACACTTATCATTA